ATTTTCTCTAAGATGGACTTGCGCTCTGGCTACAACAACGTTAGGATCCGGGACGGAGACCAATGGAAGGCAGCCTTCAAGTGCAAGAAGGGACTCTTCGAACCGACAGTGATGTTCTTTGGGCTTTGTAACTCGCCCGCCACCTTTCAGGCCATGATGGATGATCTGTTCAAGGACATGATTGACGAAGGATGGATTGTCATCTATATGGACGACATTCTGATCTTCTCCAAGGATGCAGCCACTCACGCGGAACGTACTCGGCGGGTCCTCCAACGTCTTAAGGAGAACGACCTCTTCTTGAAACCTGAGAAGTGCGTCTTTGACGTTTCGGAGGTCGAATTTCTGGGCCTCATCATCCGACCCAACGTCGTCGCTATGGACCCTACTAAGCTCGAAGGCATCACTCACTGGCCAGCCCCGACCACCGTGAAGGGAGTCCGGTCCTTTTTGGGATTCGGCAACTTCTACCGTCATTTCATATTCCACTATTCTGACCTCGCTCGCCCCCTTCATGACCTCACACGGAAAGACGCACCATGGAGGTGGACAGACACCGAGCAACGTGCGTTCGATACCCTGAAGCAATGCTTCATCAGTGCACCAGTCCTACAGATGCCGGATAAAACCAAGCCATTCACCATCGAATCTGATGCCTCTAAATTTGCCACCGGCGCAGTTCTCCGTCAAGCAGACATCAACGGAGACATGCACCCCTGCGGTTACCTCTCCCAGTCCCTGGATGCTGCCCAACGGAACTATGAGATCTATGATAGGGAACTCCTTGGAATAGTACGCGCTCTAGAGGAATGGCGACACTACCTGGAGGGCAGCTCCTATCCCGTACTAGTCCTATCCGACCACATGAATCTGACCTACTTCCGTACCGCTCAGAAACTCAATCGCCATCAGGCTAGATGGAGTCTGTTCCTGTCCCAGTTTGAACTCGAATTGCGTCACATTCCTGGCACTCGTATGGTCCAATCCAACACCTTATCCCGTCTGCAACATCTGAACCTGGAGGTCAACGACAATGACACTGTCGTCCTACTACCTGATCATCTGTTCGTGTCAAGGATAGACATCAGCCTAGCGGACCGCATTCGTGCAGTCCTCAAGACAGATCAGGTAGTACTCGACGCTCTTGCTGCGGTGAAAACGGGTGGGATCCTACCGATGAAATCCACGTTGAAGGACTGGATCTTCGATGACGGCCTAGTCTTCTATCAGAAACGCTGCTACATCCCCTTAGACGAGGAACTACGACGGGACATGGTCCAACGCTACCATGACCATAAACTCATGGGACACCCAGGACAATTTGGCACTCTCGAACTCCTACGGAGGGACTACTGGTGGCCCGGCATGGCATCGTTCGTCAAGAACTACTGCTTAGGTTGCGCCATATGCCAACAGGCGAACGTTAACACTCATCCCACATCTCCTCCATTGCTACCAATTGTAGCAAAACCAAATGCCCTGCCATTTGAAGTTTCCTCCGTCGACTTTATCACCGACCTGCCTCCCTCCACTGACCGTTACGAACGAGTCTTCGACTCAATCATGGTCGTGGCAGACCACGATGCTACGAAGGGGGTAATTCTTATTCCCTGCACAAAAACGGTCGATGCCCTCGAGACAGCTAGACTCTACCACGACTTCGTAACCAAGCGCTTTGGAGTACCGTCACGGATCATCTCCGATCGTGGCCCTCAATTCTCCTCCAAGGTCTTTCAGGAAATCACACGCCTATCGGGCACTCAGTCGTCTATGAGCACCGCCTATCACCCTCAGATCGACGGAGGCACGGAACGCATGAACCAAGTAGTCGAAGCCTACCTCCGGAAGTACTGCACAGACGAACCGGACAAGTGGACTGAACACCTGACCGACCTAGAGTTCGCACATAATCAGCGTACTGCGCAAGGACGTAATGCCTCGCCCTTCTTTCTCATGATGGGCTACAATCCCCGTGCCGTACCCACGGTAACCCTGCCAACGAACGTACCCTCCGTGGAGGAATGGCTCTCCAATCTTCAGAAGGCTCGGGCAGAAGCCCAAGCCGCCCATGAACTCGCACGCCAGCGTATGGCCGAGCGTGTCACCAAAGCCTTCACCCCGTTCAAGAAAGGTGACCTGGTATGGCTCGACGCCAAGAACATCAAGTTCTTCCAAGTCCCTAAGAAGTTTGCGCTGAAGCGTCATGGACCTCTCGAAATCATTGAAGTACTCGGACCACTGACCTACCGGCT